TGAACTCTGCCCAGGCTGATGCCAGCAGTCACAGTTGCAGATTGTAAAAAGAGCAGAGAGAGTATCTTTTTCCTGTGGTAATCTCCTAGTTGACTGATAGTTTTCTTATCATTACCTGTTCATTTCTTTGGGGTTAAGAGTTTCATACACAGAAGAGTAAGCAACCTGGCATTGTTTACACGTTTTAGCTGTATTTGTAGAGACACAGTGACACCCAGTGGTTGCTAATAAATAGAATGGACTGACTCATAATTTATTTGGGGCACTGGATCTGATCATTATTTCAGCTAGCTCATATGCATTCAGAAAAGTTACAGTGTTTGCTGTTTATTGAAAAAATGCTGTTTATTGAAATTGTTTATGGAAAAAAACATGATTCAGTATCTGTTTTTGTTATGTATATTATATTGAATCTCCAAAACTAAAATAAAAAAGAAATATACAAAGCAAATCATACAAATAGTGCTTTCTTATGGTCCTTGTTAAATAAAATTGTGTTGGCTCAAGCACAGTTCAAAGAAGTAGCTGTTTTCATCTGTCACAAAACTTTTGCTTATCAAGTCTGTAGAGGAAATATTCTGTGTCACCTTTAAGGCAGAAGATAGGGTGGTTTATATTCAATTTATCCTTCCATCTTTGTTTTAGCATTTTGGGTAGCAAATCTGCTCTTACAGCGGCCAGTGTGTGAAGACCACTTCATATTTTAAAGAAAACATCTGGTTTTCCTCTGTGTCCAAAGTGTAGATTGGAATGTTATTGTGATTTTCTTTTTCTTTTTTTCAGGGGTCACATGAGACTTAAAAATGGAAACTCAGTGCAAGGCTTAATGAAAAAACAAATTGCTCTTGCATCAGTTTGACATAAATAAGAAGTTTCCCATTTGAAATTAAGCTAAAAGTGAGGAGCGATTTCTGATTCCTTATCTAGCAACAATAGTAATTTATTTTTCACATTATGTAGAGCAGATGCTCAGTAATCCAATTCCCTTCGCTCTGAAATTTTTATTGAATCTTTGCTGAAGATTCACAGAGGTTAGCATGTCAGCAGAAGGAGTATAACAGTTTAAGGGTGGTTCTGTGCCAGTCACAGATGAGCATTAGTACACTGCGAAAGATGAGGCTGTGCACGTTCAAGAGTCAGGAGAGGCAAAGGAGCAGCAAAGCCCAGGCTCCACGGAAGATCCCAGAGAATCTCCCACTGACATCAGTGGAGCAGAACTGTGTGTAATGGGCCATGAGTGCTGGCCAGGGTGCTTCCTGCTGGTGACAAGCTCCCTCAGGTTCAGGGCAGATATCTACCTGTGAATTGGCTATTGCTACCCTGACTCTTGAGGGATATTGATATAATCACTCATCTTCCAGTCTGTGACTTTCATGAAATACTGGTTTTGTCCCAAGGCCTGAGGAAGAATTCTCCTGGTCACTCTTACTTCTTTTCATGTCATACTGGGAAAAGTTTGCTTCCACTTGGCACTCACTCTCATCTTCTAATATATAGTTCAGAGCAGGGGTTGTCTAGGCCTTTTTTAGGACTATGTGTGAGCTGACACTGTCCTACTTTCGGTGCATGAGCTTTCAGAATTTCCTAGTAAGGCACTACTGCTACTGGCTGCAGGGAGCCAGGTGTACTCCACATTCCTACTTTCAAACTGCAAGTTGGAAGTGGTCTGGGCTAATTTTGAGTGGAGAACCCAAGGGAATATGAGTTAAGCTTCTGAGACCTCTGTGTGCCTTGAAGAAGGACAGGAGTAGCTATGTAGTTAAATTTCTGCAAGTATCTCCAGATCACTGCAATTTCTCTCTGGATCCTGGGATATTCACAGGCTTGAAGAGGAGCAATGCTTTGCTGGTTTTGCTATTATATTCTTATAATTTGGAGGGGAAAAAACAAGTTTTAATACTAACAAGCCCATTACTGTTATGTTTTTGTGTTGAGGCAGGCAGTACCAGTAGATCCAGATCAAGCTAATTTTTGAGGTCCCAGTCTTGAAAGAACTTGAGCTGTTGCAGCTCCCACAAAAGTAATCTGACCATTCCAATATCCCCATTAAAGTCTAGTTAAATACATTTTGTTAAAAATCTCTCTGTTTTAAAAAGGAGGATGTCAGGGAAGATTCACAGGAAAAAAGGGTGAGGGAGGAGAAAGGAGTAAAGTTAAAGAATGAAAGGAAAAGAAGTGCAGAGGAATAAATTTAAATGCCAGATGTGAAGGTTAGCAATAGTCCCAACCTTATTTCCCTCCTACTGAATCCCAATATGTTTTCACACAGGAGAACTAATACAGTAAGGACACTAATACACTTCTTGCGTGCTAGCTGATTATTAGAGCCTCACAACAAAAAAGGTGATCAGAGAATACTTGTCACATGCCCAAACTACCCTAATTCAAGGAACCTGCCACCTCAGTGCATCATATGAGGCAGGTCAAGCCCAGGGTGAAGCAAGCTTTCCGTGTAAGAATTTTAATTAGCAATGAGCACAATAAAATACATAAGCTGCTGAAAGTTAACAAGTGCTACTGTTTGAGATTTATGTTCAAATCCATGCTGTGCACTTCCCTTTCCTCACCACTAATGGATTAGCAGTATACTGGATAGTAATCAACAAACATTACAGTCATCCTTCTAATCTTATTAATGAACTTGTAAGAAGCATTAAGGACATATTTATACCACTTGTGGGAAACAGTCCAAATACAACGAACCAAAAGCTGCTTATCTACAAGCAAAACCAGCATTATATGACTGAAGGGGACCAAGTTAATCAGAGCTATCAAGAGGCTAATTCAGGTCCAGAGGGCTGAGAAGGCAGGTTAAATGATTGCTCATAAATCATTGAAAGCATACGGTATTGTACCACACTCTACCGCATTGTAGCAACAAACAATGCTCTTCTGTAGGGTGCAGTTTCCTGCTTTCTATGTCTGTGTTTTGGCATTTTAAGTATCTCATCAGCATCTTTTTATCCTTAAGTTGTGAATATGTTATAACTCAGCTCGTTAATCATCAGATTTCTAGGAAGGAAGGGGATAGACTGTAAAAACAAACCTAAAATTGTTCATGTTTGCAGGCAGCACTACTGTGCTCACTACAAGCAAATACAAAATAGAAAAGAATGTGGTTCCAAGATACTGTGGAAGAAAACTGGGGAAAGCAACTGAGAAAATCTGAAAAATCAGCTGTATAAGTCTCTGGCTCCTTTGCTTTATGGCATGGAGGAGAGGACACTGATGGTTAATTTTTCACTTCAAAATACTTTAGAGAAATACTGAAATGTACTGGTTTATGTAATGTAAGCTTATTCATTGATTCCACCATGGAAAAACTGGGATCTGGTCTTATTATGCCTTTCTTCTGATAGGACTGAGACTATCCACAGACTACACTTGACTTCTCTTTAGAATTGTCTTCCAAAGGCTCACTTACCAGTTTTTGAAAATGTTCACTATATAGCATGATATTCCACATTTCCAGTGCCTGATATTCTACTGCAATGCACTATAGTATTTATGTGAATCAGCACAAAGGGAGGGCAAAAGGCTGCCATTGCAATGTGCTCCCTCTGGAGAAATGACACTCTGGGATAAAAGACAACATAACATGTTAGGAGGGAGAGAATAGTCCTTTAATTACAACCATTAAGTCATGTGTGGTTTTGTCATTTTTTCCATAGAACACAGAAGGTCTTCAGACTGGGACAACATGGCTGAATAGCACAAGAGGCTAAGAGCAAGTGAAACCAGCAGGTTTATTCGATAAAACTGTCAAATCAAAATTGTATAGATTTGTCCCTAGCTATCTGAACAGCATCATTTGATCCTTTTTGCAAGTTCATGGGCATGTCTTTCTCTTCATTCCCTTTCTTACCAAAAAACTTAACATACTCATTTTTAGCTCTAGGAAGTAGATTGCCTCAAGGCTCGTATAGTCACACTTTTGGCATAGTGTGAGACATAAGCCCTCATCTGGCTCTTATTTTCTTTCTCAGACACAAAATTTGACTGCTCTATAGCTTCCATTCCCAGCTTGGTCCTATTATGTCTGAAATGCTAACTGGCAACAAAATTGCACAGGCACCTGGAGCAAAAAGTAAATATTTCTTGTTCGTTCTAATTTCTTAGCATCATGTCAGAGCTCCTGGTTTGCTCACTAATTTTCTCCCTAGGGTCTCACAAAAAAAAAGATCATCCATCTCCCTTCAAGCTCCCGGACTGAATTTTTACCATCTGTCCAGGATTTTGCTCTTCCAAGGCTCCCTGCCTGGATTGCAGACACTTTCTTCTTTTGGTTCACCAACAGCCATTAACACTATTCTGTCAGCAGCTTTCTAGACATGAGTTTTGCAACTGCCTTTAAATGGAAAATGAAGTCCTTTCACTATTTCAAACATCTGTCCATATCCTTGTACATTAATTATGATGCCTAATAGAGCTTTTTGGTTTTGTATCATTTATCTTAACTGTCAGAGTGGATTTATATATCTCAAGACAAAAACACTCAGTGTGCTGCAACTCAATATCCACCAGAAAACAGAGTGTGTGCTTTTCTACTTGTATTTTCTTACAGAATAAATTCGTGGAGCACAAGAGATTTGCCTTGATCTGCAGGCTCAGGTGGCAGTGATAAAGAGTAAACAAAAGAATACACATAATAAAAACAGTCTTTCTAACTTTTCATTGTTTCTGTTGTAAACAACATTAACTACAGTCCTTGGTGAGAAGTATAGTCTTTTGAGGAAGCAGGAGGGAAAGAAACCAAATTCAGCCTTGAGAAAAGAGATGAAGGGGTTACCAAGAGCTTGGATTTTGACCAATCTGAAAGAGTTTTGCTTTGAAGCACAAAGATGCTCTGCTAAGCAACTAATAAACTGAAAAGATTGGAATTCTTAAATGTTGATGAGAATATCTTCTTTACTATACGAAGTTGAGATCTCTGTTCTATGTCAAAATTAAAAATAAGTATGTACTGCAAAAATCCATGTGTTTGTTTTCACAGATGCACCACAGCAATTTTATATAATTTTTTTCTATTTTCTTCAGCTTTATTCAGTTTTGGGTCCATATGTCTGATATAGGATTTTTCTGCTTGGTGGAAAATATTACACTATATCAGATTTTGTCAATACAGATAACATACATATTTTTGCTGAATTTAGCTTTTTCCTGAATTAGAATCATGCCTTCGAAGGAACCAAACTACAGGAAAATTGCTCTATTTCTTTTAATTGGCTGGGCAAAAGCATCTAAATGAAATAGCCCTGAAGCACTGCCCAGCACAAAACAGAATCCATGAGCACAAGCACATATAAGGAGGTAACAGGGAGTTAATGGGTTCATGATGTACAAGCACCCATGATTTAACAGTGCCCAGAGAAGTGAAACAGCAGCTCTAACAGGAAGGTGCTCCTGCCCCTTCATTCCACTGGCAGACTGGAAGCAAGGAGTGCTTTGGTTGGCCACCACTTTTTACAGAGGCAGCCAAGTGACTCGTCTTTTCCTCCTCTGTGTTTGGAGCTGTCTCATGTGCACGGTACTCTCCTGGGACATTTGTAGACTCTGGGGTCCTGGACACTTCATTCTGACTTGTATACACCAGGACCTAAAAAAGTTTTAGTCTTCCTGTAAAGTGAAAGTACAACATGAACTTGAGAGCACAACTGCAACTTTGTTATAATATCCAGATGTCAACTCATAGCACATATTAAATGTGAGACAGCTTACTGTGAAAGAAAGTACAAAGAAAAGAAAGCTGTCTTTTTGCAAACCAAAAGTGGTGATGTATTAAAGATGATAAAGTCACTTGAAATAAGCTATCTGCTGTTTTGCTGTAGAGTAAGAATTCATTTGTGGTACATAACTACAGAATACTTCTTGTTTATGTCTACTCATGTCCTCTTTTGTAGAACTAATATGCTCTAATCACTCTGTTGCTATTTTAGAGGTCTAAGTTTTAATTGGAATATTCTGTCTTGGCAATAAATTTTCATGTAGCGAATTATGAAGATGTAACTATACTAATATATACTAATTGTCTGGCTGGTAGGAGAAGTTTCCTTTTGCTAGGTCAGACAATTATACCATCCCTGGAAAAATCCCTATGGTAAAACACCTACCTGTTATCCATCAGGCTGCAGATTTAGTTAGCTTTTTCTTAAGAGCTTTTGCTAATCTAGAAAGTTAATGTCAGAGCTAATAAAAATGAGCTCATAAAAAACACACAGATAAAGTGAACACCATTTGAAATCATTTCAAGACTGAGGGGTGTTACAGGTTGTTGGCTCTGAGGCTAATGCAAGGCCAGCTCTCCCTTAATTTCTTTTGACTTGTTTCTTCCAGAAGAGGATATGATACTATTCTCACTCCAGTCTCACTTGCCAACAAAGAGATCCAGATAATCCTCAAGCTGCTGAGTCAATATTTGGTTACAGAGAAAAGCATTTCTCAGATATGAGAGATTGCATGTCCACTGGGAAAGCTCTTTTTCAGCTTTCTCTCTCAAACAAAACAAAACTAAACTATTTCTCATAAGTCACATTTTATTAACCTCTAGCTATTCTTGGTGCTCTCTCTCAACTTCTTTGTTCCTTTCTCAATAATCCTACTGAAGCTGAACACAGACTTGTTTTTCAGGACTCACTAGCACATATTTTCTGCAACAGCACAATCTTTCTAGTCTTTCACAGAAGAGCCTCAATTTTTATCTATTACATAGGTAAACCTCCATTTATATTAATGAAAACTACGACTCATTAACAGCTACAGCTCTTTATGTCTGTCTGTAATGAATTCCTTATTGCTGTTTTTGAATCACTACTTAACTACATACAATCTGATTTGTGGTTTTGTATTCCAACAGGGCTTGCAAGCCTTCAAAACCCAGTATCATCAGAAATTTTACAAGTGCATCCTCTATTCTGTCATTTAAGCCATCTGTTAACATATTGGTTAGAACAACAAAGGACTTAGAACCATAGAATTATATGGGTTTTTTCCTTCTGTTACAAAATGATGTATTGATTTTCAAAACACACATATTCCATTTGTAAACTTACTATTATTATTTTTACTCAGAATTTCCACAGCATCTCTGGAGATACAGCAGTTGCTTAGTGAGATTTCTTCAAGGTCGCTTAGCTCATCAGGGATTTATCTCACAATGTTGGTTATGGCATCCTCAGTAGCTGTCAAATTATTCATGTACAATAAGCATAGCCTTCTCATATTTCTGATACCTTCAACCATGAATGGGATGGGGAAAAAAGGTCACATTGTTAACTGAACTGTTTTGGTATGTTTCTAATAGCAAACTGTTAGACAGAATATGATGTTTACTGTCTCACATACTACAGATGTCTATATTTTGATGCTACCAATTATATGGCAAGTTTTGTTTTCATAAAAGATAAACCCAGCCTACTCAATATGAACTGCCCTTCAGCCCAGAGAAAATAACTCACAGAAGATCAAATGGGATCTTCCTGTGGAACAAATCCAGGAGAAGCATTTTTTTACCAAGTCATCAAAGGCAGACATATGAATTGCCATATCCATCTCAGTTACTGGATTGTGTGGCCCTAGAAAACACACAAACTTTTCAACCCTGGTATCCAGTGGCTGGCCTCACAGAAAGCCAGCAGTAGGTCAGAGAGGGGAACTGTGTCACCTTTGCAATCTCAGTGGCAGTTCATGCATATTAGTCAGTTCTGGGGTCAGTCTGCCAGATCGACTTGACTATGGTATGCATTACTAACTTGAAAGGAGTACTCTGATACTTTGTGGAATTTAGGATATAGAATATATCACAACTTCAGTGCAAACATACAAGAAATTTCTTTTCTAAATAAGTTGTAGGATTTTCATGTTGTAGTAGAATACAAACTTCAGAGGTTATTAAAACACTGAAAATTCTCTGCACAATATACTTTATTATGGTGTAAAATAAGAGTAAGTAGGAAAGTGTTGTGGTGCTTGCCAAAAACTGTCTCCATATTATCTGAGGGTACATTCTCTGCAAGTTTCCTCCTTGTACAATTACTTAATATCTCGTTTGCTTACAATGCAGGTTGTGCAATGCCCTTCTGTTGCCAGAAAAAGAGATTGGTTTCTTGATGTAGAACAATTTCCAGTTCATAAGTATTTTAAATTTTATGATACAGCTATCAAAAACTTGTTTTTCTGTCCAGAATTAATGGTTCAGTTAGTAAATATTCCTGCTGTCAGTAGAAATGAATGTCTCTATGATACATTTAATTAATTAATTAGTTCATTCATTCATTCATTCATTCATTCTTTAATGGTTTCATTGAAAGATGGTAACTTTAATTCATGAATGAGATGTTTATTGTGGGACTTGAATATCTAGACTAAACCAGTCATACTGCTCCAAGAAGCCAGGCCTCACTAATTTGAGCAATACTGACTCGAGCAATTAGATATAGTGGGGCAGACCCAAAACAACCCTAGATGCAAATGCAAATCCATTTCAAAGTGGATGATTTCTATTATAACAATTAACCTAATCTGATACTACTCTGAGACTTTAGGAATAAAACTCCACAGCAGTCTGCCTACTTGCCTGGTCATGGCAGTTGGCTCCAAACGTCCCAAAGAAATCAGAAGATGACTCTTAATATCAGTAGTTCTGACTTCCTTTTCACACAGTAATTATTACAATGTGTTTTGGTAAATTCGCATAATGAATGATTCTTTAATGTCTAACATTAAAATTAAACAGAAGCCTTTCCTAATGGCAGACAGGATGTATTTGTGATGATCCAAAAAGGCATTTTTATGCAGCACAGCTTATTACAGCCTGTTGAAATGCTTCCTTTTCCTTTTCCCTTTCCCTTCCTACCGTACAGTAAGCCAGAAGGAAAGCAAAATCCCACTGGTGGTAGGAATGAAGCCAGCCTTTGCCAACAGTTAAAATACATGTAAGGGTGGCTACGTGCAGAGAGCTATAAGGCACCCTAAATTCCAACAGATCAAAGACTTTATGATTGCTCACATATTTACCTGTGGTGTGGGCCTTAATATCTAAAGGCAATTTCTGAAGTGTGCAGAACGAAAAAATGCAGAAATTGCTGAGAAATCTAGCAGCAGCTTCTGGGCGAAACAACATTACTCAGCTGGTTTCAAGTACTCTTTTTTTTATCCCCCTCAGGAATAAAACTCGACCTGGAACCCGGACAAGGTCTGGTCTACCAAAAGCAGTGCTAGAGTGCCCTCCGCTGGCACAGCTCAGGCAGGCGACAGAGGGCTCCTCCTATAGCGTTTGAAGGGGACTGAAAGGAGGAGACCAAAACCTTACTATTTTGAGCAAACGTTGAGAAAAATCCAGAGTGTTTGGTTCAGGTGGATTTCTTGATCCTGCCACTACTCACGTAGTGAAGGATCACTACACAAAGCATTCGGAAGAGCAACTCTTAAAAACCTACTTACTCACTGTTATTTTACATAGGCATGGGCAGAACATCCATCCTTTGTCTCCTTCAGTGTCTCTTTGATGTGAAATTCCATCTGGATCTTAGCTGGGCAGAAAATCCCTAGAAAAGGAAATAATTAAAGCAAGTTTTCTTGTATTATCAAAATTATATTTAAAAGTAGATAATGAATGATAATGAGTGTCTTTATAAATAGTCTATTGAAAGCAGAGAAGTCAAATTACTTAACTGCTTGTGTTCATACAGAGATCACAGTCAGAAGCAGATGATAAGAAAATACAGAAAATATTTCCAAATAGTGAGCAATATCTCATCTTTGCTAGGTACCAGCAGTATCATAGAATTGTCTTCTGCTTCACATCAACCTATGTGTTATTTCACTTACGCTTAGAAAATGACACAGCACATGCATATAGCACAGGGTCTGGTGCATGAAAGCATGAAACAAGGAGAGACAGAACGAGTCACCCAAGCTGTCATGCAGCCTCATTTGTCACTGCTCCTTTTCGGTACACTAATAAAAAGTGCATTTGTGACTCATCTTGTTGCATAATATTCTGTCATCAACTATCATTGTCCCAAGTTTCCTCCTTAAAGCTGATCCAGTGTGATATTTCATCTCTTTCTCTTTTGTCTCCTCCCACCCTTTTACAGTGCCCTGAGGACTACTCCTTGTGTTTATCAAGGGGCACCCCACTTTTGTGCCCCAAATCACCAAGTTTTGTTCTAGCAGTGGATGTTGTTGGTCTTGTCAGGAGAAAAGTACTAAACAGCTTAAAATCCTATTTCAGTAAATAAGAATTGGAATGAAGCAAGTGAAAGGTTTGCCTTAAATGCAAGCTATTCCTTGACATGGCATTCTTTATTGCCATCCCTGTATGTGGTTAATATAAAGAAAAAATAAAACCAAGCAGATAAACAAATAAAAACCACAAACTAAGAAAGGAGTCTAGGCTCCAGAGAGGGATCTGGACAGGCTGGATCAGTGGACCAAGGCCAGTGGTATGCAGTTCAACAAGGCCAAGTGCTGGGTTCTGCACTTTGGTCCCAACAATTCCTTGCCACATTGTATGCTTGGGGAAGAGAGGTTGGAAAGATGCCTGGGGGAAAAGGACCTGGGGGTGCTGGTCAACAGAGGCTAAACATAATCCAGTGTGTGCCTGGGGGGACAAGAAGGCCAATGGCATCCTGGCCTGTATCAGCAATAGTGTGCCAGCAGGACTGGGGCAGGGATTGTCCCCTCAGCGTTGGTGAGGACCTGCCTTGAGTGCTGTTCTGGACCCTGCTTTACAAGAAGGACATTGAGGTGCTGGAGCAAGTCCAGAGAAGGGCAAAGGAGCTGGTGAAGGGTCTGGGGCACAAGTCCTGTGAGGAGTGGCTGAGGGAGCTGGGGGTGTTTAGCCTGGATAAGAGGAGGCTCAGGGGTGACCTTGTTGCTCTCTACAACTGCCTGAAAGGAGGGTGTAGCCAGGTGGGGATCTGCCTCTTCTACCAGGTAACAAGTGGTAGGATGAGAGGAAATGGCCTCAAGCACCAGAGGAGGTTTAGGTTGGCTAAAGGAAGAATTTCTTCACTGAAAGGTTTATTAGTCATAGGAACAGGCTGTCCAGGGAAGTGGTGGAGTCACCATCCCTGGAAATGCTCAAAGAAGTGTAGTTGTGGCACGTGGAGACATGGTTTCGTGGACTGAGTTAAGGTAATGGTTAGACTTGATCTGAAGTGTGTTTTCCAGCTTAAATGGTTCCATAATTCTATAGTTTTATTATTAACAACTGACCTGTCTGGCATCCTCTGGAGGGCAGTTTCCAGAAGCATCCCAACAACAACAGGGAACAGCACACTCATAGGAGTGTTGCTACCCAGCTCCCCGATGGGACCCCTCTGTCCCACCCCCCGTGGAGCCTGCTCGTCTCTGGGCACAGGCGGCGGAGGGGGTCCTGGAGTGGATACAACACGGACTCAAAGTATCTAGACACAGGAGGCTCAAACTTGCTGGAATAATCCCGGGTTTATTATCTGTCGTCCATCCGGGGCAAGAGAGAGAGCGAAATGCTCTGGATCTTATCTCTTATACCAGGGGGCAGGGGTGATTAGGGGATGCAGGGAGGTCACAGCCAATGGGAAGGGGGGGGAGGGAAAGAAGGTTTTCAGGTAGGAACTAACATTACACAAACCAGAGGTGAGTTTTACCCTTGGGAGGTACCAAGATTTCTAGATGCACTACAACATAGGAGTATAGTTAAATATAACAATAGAATCACAGAATGTCTCAAATTGGAAGGGATCCATAATGTCCAACTCCCACATCCTTGCAGGATTA